GACATGATATTTATTATAACATCCCAACGCCGTTCACATTAATTTAAAACGTGGAAGGTCTTTCTGGTTATCACAACAACAATAACATATGCTATGAAAATTCTATATTCAACTGAAGTGTTTAAAAACCTCAAGAAATTGCTTAAGAAACAGAGACATAAAAGCTAGTAGTCAAATTCTTCATCCCCTATTCTGTTTCCACAAACTTCTTGCTATCATCGCTTTGCTTGCATGAGAGAAGAAGATATAAAGTTATATTGCAAACATACAGAAGGGATGTAAAGACACAATCACAATTGTATTCACTCATAGCTAAGATATTTTGAATAGAATTGTTCCAAGTTTTCGTTTTCTGAGCTGTACTATTACAATTTAAAATAGAAAATGAGAAATAAAATTTTCTATACATCTTTTCTTATTCCTTATGTTTCCATCAGTTTTTTTTAAAAAACGTATGCTGATGTATTTTGAATACATCTTTTCCCCATATTTTTTAAAATTATACGAATATGGTATAGGTATTTTTGAAGCTACCTACACTTATTCTAAAAATCTTTACTTGTTTGAACATCGGATAATTGGAATGTTGAGATACTTAGAAACTATTTCCTTTGAACGTAGTATTTAAATATTAACTACGTAATAGAAATTCCAATTTTCAAAATTTGCATTCAGATAAGGAGCCGCTGCAAATTCCACATTTAAAAGAAAATGAATGCTGCTAATTTCTCAAAAAAGTCTTTACCTTATGGTAATAGTACCAAGAAAACTATGTTCACGCGGGTTCATTGCGGTATAGAAGCAATGTTCTTAGAACTTGGCAATTTTCAGCACTATTAGCAAAGCTTGAAGCATGCTATATAATAATGAAGCTTTTAAAGGCATTCATACAATAATTGAATACTTATTTACATTTCAGATTAAATCATTCAATTGAAATGAACATTTCTTATTTAATACACTAGTAATTGAGACGTATCAATTAACTGTATCACGGTTTCATTAGATCTGGAACCTGAAAGGTTTTACGAAAGCAATTTTTCGTAACCATTTGTTTCCTTCTAGCCACTCTCCGTGAAACTCAAAAAAAAAAAGTTTCACTGCGTTTCTTTAGCCGTGACGCCGCAGGCAGGGGAGAATTACGCTCGTTGGCTCCCGTTGCGGGCGAGGAGAGTGGCACCGTGCGCGAAGGCGCGAAGGCTCCCCGGCTCGGGTGGTGGCAGCGCGTCTGCAAACGAGATACAAACAGCGTCGCGTTCACGCCTGCCTTAATTTGACGGCACACGGCGCCCGCTCCGCCCACGGCAGCTCGGGGACGGCGGCGCGGGCTGGTGCGGGGGGCGCTGTCGAAAGCAAGGTGGAGAGGGTGGCGGCTGTGATGACGGGACGTGAGGTACGGGTGCGGTCTAAGGTTTCCCTCCGATTCGCTTGTTGGCGGGAGGGGGGCGGAAAAAGAAAGGTGTGGGGGCGGTGTCGAAAGCAAGGTGCCGGCGAGGAGGTGGAGGCGGGTGACGGTTGTGGTGACAGGACGTTGAGGTACCGAAGCGGTCTAAGTTTTTCTCCCGATTCGCTCAGTGGCGGGAGGGGGGCAGTGGGGGGGGGTGACGGAAAAAAGAAAGGTGTGGGGGCGTGTCCGAACCGAAGGTACCGACAGGAGGTGGAGGCGGGTGACGGGTTTGGTGACAGGACGTTGAGGTATGAAGCGGTTAAGTTTTTCCCCCGATTCGCTCGTGGCGGGGGGGGGGGGTGACGGAAAAGAAAGGTGTGGGGCGGTGTCGAACGCAAGGTACCGACGAGGAGGTGAAGGCGGGTGCGGTTGTGGTGACAGGACGTTGAGGTTGAAGCGGTCTAGTTTTTCCCCCGATTCGCTCGCGGGGTGGCGGGGAGGGGGGGGGTGAAGGAAAAAAGGAAAGGGTGTTGGGGGGGCGGTTGTCCGAACGCAAGGTACGACGAGGAGTGAAGGGGGTGCGGTTGTGGTGACAGGACGTTGAGGTACCCGGTGCGGTCCTAAGGATTTTCCCCAATTCGCTGGGGCGGAGGGCGGGGGGGAGCGGAAAAGAGGAAGGGCGGGGGCGGTGTCGAAAGGCAAGGTAGCGGCGAGGAGGTGAAGGCGTGGTGACGGTTTTGTGGTGCAACAGGACGTTCGGAGGTAGGGTTGCGGTCTAGGTTTTCTCCAATTCGCTGTGGCGGGAGGGGGGGGTGAGCGCGAAAAAGGAAGGTGTGGGGGCCGGTGTCGAAGCAAGGTACCGACGAGGAGGGTGAAGGCGGGTGACGGTTGTGGTGACAGGACGTCGAGGTATCGGGTGCGGTCTTACGGTTTTCTCCAACTTCGCTTGGTGGGGGAGGGGGGGGGGGGAGCGGAAAAAGGAAAGGTGGCGGGGGCGGGTGTCGAGCAAGGTACGACGAGGAGGTGAAGGCGGGTTGACGGTTGTGGTGACAAGGACGTCGAGGTACCGGTGCGGTCTAAGGTTTTCCTCCAATTCGCTATCGTGGCGGAGGGGGGGGGGAGCCCCGGGGCGGGGAAAAAAAAAAAGAAAAGGTTGGGGGCGGGGGGGCGGTGTCGAAAGCATGGTGCCGGGGCGAGGAGGTGGAGGCGGGTGTGACGGGGTTTGTGCGTGACGGGAGTTTGAGGTACGAACGCGGTCTAGTTTTTTCCCGGACCGATTCGCTCGTGGGGGTAGGGGGTGGGGGGCGGAAAAGGAAGGTGCGGGGGTCGGTGCGGACAAGCAAGGTACGATGATGGGGTGCAGGCGGGGTGGCGGGCTGTTGTGGAGGACGATGCGGTAACGCGGTGGCGGCGAAGGTTTTCTCTCCCTCAATTCGCTGGGGGTGGGGTGGCGGAAAAAGAAAGCATGCGAGGGGTGGTGTTACTAAAGCACTGATTCTGGGGGAGGAGCGTGAAGAGGGTGTGATGGGGGGGGGGGCGAAAGGAAGGTGTTGGGCCGTGTGACAAGCAAGTGGAGGGGTGGTGACTGGTGGAGGAGGTGAAGGGGGTGGTGGTGTGGTGGCGGAACGCATGGGGTACCGGCGCGGTTTTAAAGGAGAGACGACCGCGTTCCTTAGTAAACAGAAAGGTACGAGACATGCGCAACTGCTCAAGAGGCAACCACTAGATTTAGCATGTGAAGATTAAAGGGCGAATTGGAAGCTCAAGGGCTGCTAGAGAAATGTTATACGATATCCAGATTATATATTTTTTGGCTTTATGCTACAACGAAGAATCATGGTATTACTCAATAACTATTTACAAATATGCTATTTAAATGTCCTGTATAAATCCTATCAATTATTGATCGGTTATACAACAACTGAATGTCAACTCATTATAAATTAAAGTTGGTTATGTTACAATTAACACTAGCAGTGTCGAGTCTGATAACTCAAGAAGTAAAAATCCATTTTTTTGAAACATGGGGTATTTCATTTGGCTCAATACAGTTTCCTTGTTCATTGGATATCTATTAAAGCCAAAAAACAACAAATTGTTTGAAACAAACGTGGTGAGAATCTTAAGAGATTATTTTGATTTGTGATATACGTGTTTTACCGCAAGCTAATATGGTTTCAGCAAGTGGGTCAACATTACACACATTTTATCTTTGGGTTAATTATGACCAGTCTAGTTCTAGTCTTACCTTTCTATTTAAACCGTAATAAAACGCAATAATCTTACGAAATATTAAGTAAAAAGTAATTTTAGTTGTTTAGTAACTAAGTGTTCAGAAAAAGTTAGTAATTATTTGACATTTTAAATTAAACAGGAAACCACAAATAAAACCGCAAACATTTTCTCAATTCGGCCTTCAATTACTAGATAATAGTTAACAAATGCGACCAATTTTTCTCTTGTATTCCAATGAATGGATGATTCAATAAGGTGCTTGCTGCAGATTTACAGAAAAAGTTTTCCCTTCGAACACAAAAGTATTCCAAGTTATCCCTAGACTGGACTAAGAAAGTATATTTTAGAGTGCAATTTCCAGACACAACCAAGTTCCAATGTTCATCAGCGCATGCAGACGTTATTTGGTCGGAGGAGGAAGGGGCGAGCTGTTTTGCGATAATCAAAGAAGGGTAAAAGGCAAGAATCAAAATTAAAAAAAAAAGTTATCATCAAATGCTAACTTTTCATCAGTAAAGAAGGAATGAGTTTGCGAGATTTTATAATTCCCACGTTATAAATTCGTGCAATCTTCAATAACATTATTGCAGCCATGATAAATTTCGTGCAAAGGAAGGCTCAGGGCATCTGTTGGACCGACACTACAGTGCCTCTGCTTGAGAATCTGAGGGTTAGAGTTCCCGATGTGGCAGGATTTGCAGCACTTACCTAGCCGCTAGATCAACTCGCGCACTATCTGGTGGAGATTGTTGCGGCGTGCTGCTCAGGGTAACTTTCCGTGTTTTTTTTTTTTGATAAACACCAGGCAAATGGTCGTAGAGTACCCTAACAAAACGGGCCACGAACGCGGCACGATTATTCATTCCTTCTTCCTTGTCTTATCCTCACCCCTTTCCTTACACAAGCTCTTACTGCTCTTCTTCTACCACACTTCCAATCGGAGATTAAATATTGTCCCGGCTGGGGCGGTACTTTGCTGGTTGGAATAAATCCTCGCAAGCCGATTGCAGTCGGCGCCGGATCTCACTGCACCGTTGGAGAAGTTTCACCTAATTACCGCGATAAAAACGTGCATTACACATACGATATAATGACTTTAGGTAGTTGACGCGCCCTGAATCGCTATCAATCAATCAATAATGTATAAAACGTTATAATATACGACAATACAAAGATAAAGTTTGTAGTTATATATAAAAATACGAAATTAGAAAAATCAATTACTACATACAATATTTAATTACATCTATACAGAGAAATGGCACTTTGAACCTAGGACCAGCAGGTTCTCAAGGACGGGCCTTGCGTTTGGACAAATCTCCTAGGAAATGGATGGAGCTCGACGCCCAAAGGTCTAAAGCCCATTTTGTGATTGTACCACCGTGGGAACGCGAGGCGTCCGCGGCGCGTCGGGCGTTCGCAAGTCAGCGACCAGGTCGGCAGGACGACAGGGACGGCGCGGGAACGGCGTGGACGACGCAGGTCGGGCGCGGGAAGGCGCGGGACGCGCGGGGCGTCGGCGGGGCTCGGCTCGGCTGCGGTGCGGCCTGTGAGTAGTTTCTGGAGCCGGCAGTGGTGGCGAAACTCGGCGCGAGGAGACTTCCCACGGCTCACCGGCCCGCGGCGGCACGCCCACCAGACGCGGCCTCGGCGCCGCCACCCGCACGCCACGCAACGCCACGGCCACGCAACGCAGCGCAGCGCAGCGCAACGGCAAGCACGATCCATGATGCCTTATTCCTCGTAGCAAGTCTCGGGTAATCTTGCTTCTTTATCCGCACACCACGCAATTTCTTTCCCCATCTAGCGGAGAAAAAGTAACTCGGGTCGGCGATTTCATTTTAACTGAAAGGCTCTAAGGTAATCGAGTAGTTGATCGCAATCAATGATGCCTTGGTTGTGTGTGGTGAGGTTCAGGTCATCGGGCTTCTTCTTCGCCTAACATGTAAATTTCTTTACGCTTCTCACCAATCTAGCAGAGGAAGTAGGTATACACTCGGCCGATGAAACAGGCGATTTAATTTTGGCTCATTTGGGCAGTTAAGCATCAATTAATGATCCTTATTTCGTGGTGATGCTGAGATCATCAGGCTCTTTACCCCTCAAACCAAACAAATTTCGCTTACGCTTCCTTTCACCTCTTTAGCAAGAAAATGTATCACTTGCCGATTTCAATATAAGCTTTTTTTAGGCTTGAGTACTTTTCACATGCATAATCTGTGACTGGAATCTGGCTTTACTGCCCCTCGAAAGAAAGTTGTATGGAGAATGTTTTTTGCCTTTAAATTCTACGACTAGTTCGCAACCATTACACCAATGAAGCCTCAATGGCACTGCCTGAATGGGCTGGCTCATCAATGACGGGCCGTGGATGAGCGCGCAAAATTTTTTTTACAATTTATTTCTGCTTGGCCAGCAGAGCCTCATTATCCGAGTTTGATACATTGTTTGTTGGAAATTTAAAAGTTAATTTGGTATTCGATTACATATATGATTGCACGAGTTAGTGCATTTTATGGTGAAAAGTCACTTTTGACGATTCGAATCATAGCTGGTAAAACAATTAAGAGGACGTTTTCGCTTTTGTTGTGTTTATAGTGCAGGCTATTGATCGCCAATTCTGTTATGTTCGGTGAAATATTGAGTGGAATATTTAGGGAGTAGAGGTAAGGATTTCTCATGGAAGCGAGAAGAAGAGTAAAAATTGCAGAAGTGGAATTCTTTATGTAGTTGAAAATTTGGTATAACCAGGTTGCTTTTGTATTTTTCAGAGGATTTATTTTAGAAAATCTTCACATTTTAAATATTGTATTGCTGGTCGGAGCTCAGACAGAAGAAGCGTAAGGGAGGATTCGTCGATCATTACTTGACACAGGTAAACTGTACCTGATTGGTTGATTGATTGACTAGCACTTTTTGGGCGTGTCATTGCTAAGGCAATAGTCAATAAGCATAGTGCACGTTTTATCGCGGAAGTGGCGGTGATCCTCCCTGCGAATGGCAATATCCAGCGGCACATGCCCGTTGGCTGCGAGGTTTTCCCTAACCAGGGGTCCCACCAGTGGGAGCCCGCTCAAGCCGGGAATAACTCTAGCTCTGACTGGTCTGGTGGTGTGTGTGTTTGTGTGTGGTTGTGTCATGCAAGTAGGTTGTGTGTGTGTTGTGAGTAACGGGTGAGAATATGAACAAGGAAGAGGAAAGAAGATCGCGCACAGTCCTGGCCCGATTTTAAGGGTACTATTTCGCCATTACACTCGATGTTGGATCGAAGAAACCAGAAGCTACCGATCAGAGCGGCCGGGCGCTAGGAACTTCTCCAGAGAGCGAGCGCTGAATTCGACTAGCAGCTAGAGGTCGAAAATCCTGCCACCGTCGGGACTGAGACCTAGGTTTCCGGGACAGAGGCACTCAATTTATGCTCTAAGCCACCTAAGACTAAAACACATAAGAAGTGTACGATAGGGTGATGTTATTCGTCTTTCGTATATTTGGTTTCGAAATGAGTCTTCTGAGTAATATATTACATATTAGATTGGTTTTCCAAGTAATATCATGTCCGCACATGTGCTGCGAGAAAAAAGGGCAGATTATTTTTTTACTTTCTTTGAAAAAGTGGAAAATCTTAATCTTGTTTCTCATCACAGCAACAAACTTATTCTCTGATGAGTATTGTACTGCATACGTCTTCTCCTGGCCCAACAATACGAGGCTACTTTTAACATTAGTTTTTAAAATGATGAGTAATTCTTGCGCCTAACGCATAACAATATATCAGGATCTCGTTCCAAAAAATGGGACATTCTATTTATTGGGTTGCTAGGTTGAAGTAGATTAAAAAACGGTT